TGTGTGTGTGTGTGTGTGTGAATGTGTGAGTGTGTGCCCGCAGTCCGTGCGTGTGTGTTTGTTTACTTGAAACTCTATTTATAACCTTTTCTCCAAACGTACATATTATGTGCATGGTACCGTGGTGCTACAATTTTGCGGTGTATTTCCATGACCCGAGACGATGTACATTGATTCCCTGACAGGATGCAGGGCAGAGAGGAAGAGGGAATAATTGAGTAATACAGGATTAAGGCGGACCTTGCCGCACCCCCTACGGTTCACGAGTTGGCCAAATTCGCACATAGTATATATAGCTAGTTCGATCAACAGAAGCCTCACCACATTAATAATAATTACATGTAATATTATATACATGATACAATTTTAATGTGATAATAATAATATGCTTAAACAGCTTATTGTGCAACAGACAGACGTATGCCACAGTCTACTGAATGCAGCTTTTCGTACTGAAAGGGAGAGGGATAATAGGGGGTGGGATGGGGGTGGAGTAGGGAGTTCAATCACTGACTGACTGCGGTATCAATACCACTTTATATCCGACTTCGAAAAATGCGCAACAGCCTATCAAGTACTTCTTCGATTATATTATTATAGAATCGAATACATCAACACTTATCTGGCGGCGTTAAAATGCAGCGCAACAAAATAATTAACGATTAATTTCTACAACTTTGTACACATGGGTCTGAAAAGATCTTTGTGCTAGGCTACAGTTTTTAATGATAAGCTTTTCGATAATGACATTTCTAAAGTGGTAACTTCTCAATATATTATTATTACGCAAGCTGCGATCGACACACTTTTCAAGAACTCGTGATTATTTTGGCCCAGGCTTAAAATGCTGCTTTTAAGAAATTTCACCTATTTAAATTGGAGCTTAAAAACAAACAAGAAACAACATGGATTCCAGTTTGGTTTGACTTTTGTTAGAACACTGTACAATTTAAGTTCCAACCATGCCGTTATAGGTCTAGCTGTCATGACACCGTGAATGGCATATATATAATTGGCTTCGAACTAAGGTACCGGCGGTACGCCTACCGATGATTTATTTATTATATATATGGAATCAAAGTTGGGAACAAGCAACCAGAATAATTGTATTGAAAGCAAAATTACCAGCATAGACTTTATTTCTCTTTTATTTGCAGGAGCGCCTATATTAAGGTCCAAATAGTACTACGTGCATAGAACATGTAATATTTATCTTTTGCTTGCATTACGCGTGATTGAAAACGCGCTGCTGGATAAACATTACACTAATTAAACATTCATGCAATATATGTGATTTAAATCGTCTTTTTCTAAACCCAGATGCTCGAATTTTCGCGCATCCAACCGGCGGATTGCCAACGTTTTTTAAAATTTTACAAGCTAACTTAAATGATCACGAAATTCTTTCAAAGAACCATCACCAAATTATGTCTTTGTTATAGACAGCTCTGAACTGGAGGTGGGCAAAATCCGGATAATCTGTCCGAATAACCGGATAATTAGCAATGAAACATTGCCCGAATTCAGACTCTTAACTCACTTTCCTGACCTGCTTACCGAATTAGGTGTACTCATTTGTTGAAGTGATGCTAACCCGTTTGTCGAAGTGGTTCTAACCCATTTGTTGAAGCAGTTCTATTATATTATTTGCCGAAGAGGTGCACTAACATATTATCCGGATTTTTTTAAAGCGACTCATTGCCCAGCTCTTCTCTGAACGCCAGTTTAAATTAGAACTACACAAAGGTAATATGAAAAAGGGGTTGCATTAATTATAATTGCTCCTACTTTGACGAACACGAAAGTTCAGTTTGGAATAACGGTAGCAGACGACATCGGCGTACCGGTCGCCGGTCATGCAACCCAGCTCACCATGAGGTTTTATGAGGTGTTGAGATCAACGGCGACTGCGAGTGAGTTTGATCCCCCTGCAAGCTGATTTATAATGGATCCATATAAACGTGAAGGCTTTCGTACACGGCAACATTAAAACAACGTAGCATTTTACAAATAATTTACTTCCTGAAAAAGGAGGGGGGGCAGAGATGGACTTGTTCCGACTGCAGTGACCCCCAATACAGTGGTCAAGTAAGTAAGTAAGTAAATAATTTACTTGCAAAGACAACGCGATATATATAATTGCCCATGCATGCATTCTTATCTTTATCGTTTTATTTATAATTAGATCTAGATCTATATAGAATTTCATCCCCCAATTTATAACTCCTGTCTGCCGAAATGAAGACCCCC